AATTCTGGGGTTTCCAGCTCCTGCTTGAGGGCTCTACTTTATTGACCAATTTAAAGAAATCAACAGAGGGAGGAAGCGGCTGAGTAGGAGTCAGGAGAAGCACCTCGCCAAGAAGGGAGAGTACAAAGGGGTAAAATGCCCTCTTAGAACCTTTTTTATTTTTTAAATATGATTTTTGTTTGGTTGGTTGGTTTTTGGTGGCTGGCCAGCACAGGGATCTGAACCCTTTGACCTTGGTGTTATAACACCGTGCTCTAACCAACTGAGCCAACCAGCCGGCCCCTTCCTAGAATCTTTTAAATAAATCTATTGTGGAGCCACTCATTTCAGTAGCATGGACATCAGTAAAAATGACAAATAATAGATGATAGAGACTAAAGGCGAGACTAAGAAGGGGAGAGTCTGTACAGCAAAATAATGAACTATACAAGGCAGAAAATAGGCGTATGCATGGAGTGAACTGACACTAAACAGACACCGAGCCTAGGTGCAAAGGCTACTAATCCCACACTCTGTGGAATTGGTATGTTGTTATTCTGCTTTCACAATTAACTTGTTTACAAGCTGTCCTTAATGAGTCTTCTCTCTTTCTCTCTCTCTCTCTCTCTCTCTCTCTCTCTCTCTCTCTCTAGGAAGTCACTTTCTTCCATTCTGGACCTTGGTCAACATTGGGAAGTAAAAAATTTTATCTACATACCAGTAAACATTGGGACAAATAGAAAAAAAAATTGATTCAGATGAGCCAAGGATCAGCTGAATAACTATGCAAAAATGACTGGCTATTTTTGTCCTGGACCACCATCAGGGAATTTTTTACTTGCCTGGGTGATTTCTGATCTGCTTTTGGATAACATCCATTTAGGACAGATTGACTTTTCGACAGGCTCAGAAGGTGCTGAATTACACACTGTTTACCATCTGGCTGGGGAAACTGTGGCCATGTGGGCATAATATGAAGCTTCCCTAGTAATCTGTGGGCAGCTGGACTCACCCCAAGGACACCTCCACCAGCTGGGAACCCAGAAACAGTCCATAAACAAATAGGTCCCCGTGGGAGTGACTGGCAGCCCCAACAAGCCCTTCCAGAAGCAGTCAATTTGTCAAACAACCAATTCACCAAAAATATGTTTCTATTAACTCTATATAATAACATTTATAGCACTGATGAGGCATGGGACAAGTTTAATAGTTTATGAGAATTTTTCTCAGTGCTTTATTTTGACAGTGGCTTTGCTGCAACCATTTCCCCACAGCTGTCCTCAAGTAATTCTGCCATATATTTTGGAGCTCGAGGAGAGTCATCTATACCCCGGATCCCTATGGGTAAAACCACTTAGCATGACAAGGATGAATTTCCCTTTCTTTGAAAGGTATCTGTTTTCAAGTTATCCCAGGATCCCAAAGGCCATGGTTACTGAAGCCTTCACCTCATATCCCTTTTTATAAACCAACACCACATGTCTAAATTTAAATTTCCAACATATTCATTGGCCTGGGCAAATTCTTAAAATATTTTTACAAATTAAACTATCAGGAGGAACTTCTAAATAGGAAAGGAAAAATAAATAGCTAGTGAACTCACAGAGACTTGGTGTGGGGAAAAAAGTACCAGTTACTGTTTCATCATTCATGGATGATAGAAATGTGTCACCCTGAGGCTATGGCTCATCTGAGGAATTCTCTCAAAGGAGATTTCCACGCTGTGATCCTGTGTACGATGCCGCAAAAGCACATTCTAACTTGCGGTGTCTTGTAGGTAAGGAAACCAATACTGCTCCCAACCAGTGTTTATCCTTTATGAGGGATTATACTACCTAAATAAAAAGCAGAAACAAAGGGCCGATGATGTGAAGGAAAGGGATTTGATGACGTGTAACAATCTATAAATGTGCGATCCAACTGTGTTTTAGATAAATGTCGCCTGAAATTCAAATCCTGAAGTTATAACCATTTCATTGTCAGAATGGCATATGTAACATAACTAACCCAAACACCCTAATGGTGATGTTTATCTACAAAAGGGTAGAGAATGATCTATTAGGTGATGAGCAATGCTAGGTATGATCATTGTTATTAATTTCTCTAAAGCAGTGAATGTGAAAGGATAAACAAATTACATACACACAGAGAGAAGGCAACAATTAAAATGTTACAGAGAGAGGTGAAGCTCTCTCATGCAGAAGTCACTGTGCAGATTGGAACAAAAGAAATGAGAGGAAATTTGCAGAAAGTCTATCAAATGAGGGACAGAACAGGTGAATCTTGGAATAGGGGATTCAAAGTCTGAGGAGGAGAAACAACGTGAGGTCAGAAACAAGTTTTTGCCCATAGAAGTCTGCGCAAGAAAAAAAATCACCGCTGATTTAAAGCAGAGAGACAGGCATCTCATCATTTTTGTGCCACTAACATAAATATGAAACCAAACGCTAGCCCAGCATTCTGCCTCAACTTTGCTGACAAGACAAATGATGCAGCCAGTAAGATCTAAAATATAATTATTGTAAGACTTCAAACAGTTCATAGCTAAGCTAAACTCAAAGCAGAAATGATGTGTTTGGAGACTGGAAATTAGTATTTGAAGGAACTATGTTGGCAATATAAATTAAAGCAGGGATTTGGAAAAAAGTTTTTGAAAAATCCACAGCTAACTTGACATTAGCAGTTAAAAATTAAGTGACAGAGTTGAGTGGATCATCCAGAAAAATGAACTGTAAATCAGAAGGCATTAGAACAGCAAGGGTCACTAATTCAGTTGCAGTTACAGTGTGTCATACTTAGGAGACTGGAAATAAAGTTATGAAGAGTCGGTAAACAATGTTTATTTAGCCTGTGTCACCAGAAATTTTGGAAATACAGTACACAGTGAAAAAGAAAAAAACTCTTATTTTTGAACAGGTGAAGTTAAGTCACTATTTTTCAAAAAGATTTCCTTTAGTTATTTTGTGCATATACACAATAATCATATGGTTAGTCAGTAATTCATAAGTAATTAACCCACCTTAAACAAATCCATATGAATATGCATACACTGCGTTCCAAAATTAAATGCAGAAAATAGTTTCCACTTTATGCCGAGTGGCTTTAACCGTATAGTCTGAGAGTTGTGCATTGCTCCTCCCCATTATTTCAAAGGCCCTCCCTCAGTATTACAGGCCTTTTATAAACAATTTGCTCAGTCTTCTTAAAACAAAAGCTGTGAAGAAGGAAATCTATATGTAACCCTGAAAGGCTGTGATTTAAGAGATGTGAATCTCTTTATAGACTGATCCTAACGTTTCCCTACCTATAAGCTGTATTCTAAGTCTAATGTCATAGAAAAGTGGTCCAACGGAAGGAAACTGAGTAATAAATCATGCCTAAGAATGTATAAACCTTTAAAATTACATTTTCTCTATAATATATAAAGATTAATGTAAACAAAATAAAAATATAACTGTAATTAAAGTGATATAATTACAGTGATATAACTGTAATATAGTTATTTTGATGTGTAGTTTTTCTGATGACATGAAGAAAGATAACACAATGGTTTAAAAAGTCCAACAATTCTTTCACCATCTTTTACCAGAATGTGTAACAGGAATCACTTACAGCTTTCTTTCACTAATCAGACCTTGTTTTTCTATGAATTTATAAGCCTTGAAAAGAGAACAAGCTGATATGAACTAAAAAGATGGAGCAGATCAATTTACTATGGTTTGAAATCCAGCAGTATATCAGCAATTTGAGAAGCACATTTGTTAGAACTCATAAACAGCAAGTGTTAATGGGGAGTGTATATACTAAAGTAAACACCCAAGAGACTGAAAATGTAGTCATGGACTCTTCCAGCACTGACTCATGGCCTCAATTCTGGTGAATCTCCATTCACAGAACTTAGTGGACTCTGAGCTACACCCACACTCCACCAACGTCTTGGTCTTCTCCACTCTGTTGCCTACTGACTCTTTAAGCTACTCACGAGTCCAATCCATGAGCAGCCTGAGCTTCACAAATTCACATCATCCCCAGAGAGAAACACACCGTTTTCACCGAATCACTCAAAGCTTCCCACTGCTGGAACGGCATCGATATCTGGCTCCTCCGCCAGTGGTCATAGCGGGCTCGACTTTCTTCATTGGTCAGTATCTCCTTTGCTTTCTGCAGTTTCTGAAAAGTCTCCACTGGAAAACAAATTAAGAGATGAGCACTTTCCTCTTGGATAGCTTATTTTAAACTCCAAAACCATCAAACAGATCTCACTAGAATCATGACTCTGCCACTTACTAGCTATGTGACCTTGGGCCAGTTTACCTAGTTAAGCTCTAGTTTCCTCATTTGTAAAGTGTATTATAAGGACAAGAGAGAGCATGTATGTAACGTGCCTGGCTCACAGTTTATCCACTCCCTTTACTGTGCTCCAGTGTTGTACCAGGTACTGATGACACAGGTCTGAGCAGACATCATTAGTGGGAGAGATCAACATTTATAAACATTGGAAAAATATAATTTTGGCTACTAGGAAGAAAACTACCTTCTCTAGTGATATTTGTTAGGAAGGGAAGTGGCCAAGCAAGATGGACAATATAAATGAAGACTCTAAGGCAGAAAGGAGCACAGTAATTTAGAGGAAGTAGAAATTTCCAATGTGGCTGGAGGAAACAGGGCCAGGGGGAGAAGATGAGGGGATAGGGGAGTAGAGCAGATAAGGTCCCAGTCATCCAGGGCTTTAGAGCCTTAGATGTCATGCTAAGGATTCTGGTCTGGGTTTTGTCATACAAACAATGGGAAACTGTTGGGAAGCTTTGAGTACAGTAAATAACATGGTAGTTGCTCAATAAATGGTAGCTTCATCACTGATCGATTTAACCAGATGGCATATACAATAGAAACCTTTCATGGCCCTGTTGGAAACACTTCCAAAGCCTTTTCTGCCCCTCAGTGAAGTTAAAGCTTTCTGTAGAGCAGGACATAAGATCAATATACAAAAATCAATTGTTCCTATACATTAGCAAGAAACCATCTGGAAATGAATAAATTCATATAAATTCAATTTATGGTATCATCAAAAAGAATAAAATACTTAAGAAAAATTTTAACAAATGAAGTACTCTTTTCATACACTAAAAACTGCAATATTGTTGAAAGAAATTAAAGATCGAGATAAATGGAAAGACACCCCATGTTCATGGATTAGAAGACTTACTATTGCTAAAATGCTAATACTCCCCAAACTGATCTACAGATTCAATATAATCTCTATCAAAATCCCAGTTGCCAAATTAAAGATCGAGATAAATGGAAAGACACCCCATGTTCATGGATTAGAAGACTTACTATTACTAAAATGCTAATACTCCCCAAACTGATCTACAGATTCAATATAATCTCTATCAAAATCCCAGTTGCTTTTTTTTTTTTTTTGCAGAAATAAACAAGCTGGTCCTAAAATCCATATACAAATGCAGGGAACCCAGAATAGTCAAAACAATCTCAAAAACTAAGACAAAGTCGGAGGACTCACACTTCTTAATTTCAAAACTTACTACAAAGCTGCAGTAGTGAAAACAGTACAGTACTGACATAAGGACAGACATATAGGTAAATGGAATAGAATTGAGAATTCAGAAATAAACCTTCACATTTAGTCAACTGATTTTCTACAAAAGCGCCAAGACAATTCAATTGGGAGAGAACAGCCTTTTCAACAAATGGTTCTAGGACAACTGGATATCCACATATAAAAGAATGAATTTGGATCCCTACCACAAACCATATACAAATATTAACTCAAAATGGATCACAGATCCAGATGTAAGAGCTAAAATTATAAAACTCTGAGAAAAAACATAGGAGTAAGTCTTTGGGAACTCAAATTAGGCAATGATTCCTTAGATTGACACGAAATGCACAAGCAACAAAAGAAAAAGTAGAAATTGGACTACATCAAAATTAAAACTTTTGTGCTTCAACACATGTCATCAAGAAAGTGAGAAGACCAACCACCAAAAAAAGAAGAGAAAAGAAAAGAAAGTGAAAAAATAACTCATGGAATGGGAAAAAATATTTGCAAATCATAGACTTGATAAGGTACTTTTTTTTTTTCCTTTTTGTCTTTTTTACTGACCGGTAACGGGATCGCAACCCTCGGTGTTGTGCCCGCACCACGCTCAGCCAGTGAGCGGGAACCGGTCTCCACATGGGATCCGACCCCTCGGCGGGAGCGCCGCCACACTCCCAAGCGGTGCACTCTCCAGCGTGCCACCGGGCCAGCCCAATAAGGTACTTTTTAAATAAAATTTATAGGATGCTACTGGTTTGGACTGAGCTCCTGCACTAAACCTAACCCAAAATAGAGTTGCTCATGCTAAAGTTCCACATCACCAAACCAAAATTAAATTGTTTATCTGAACTTCCAAGAAGTCAGGAGAAAAAGAGATAAGAGCCAAATCCCCGAACAGGCCAGTTTTAGCTGGCATGGTGAAGAAGTTTTCTCTGCTTTAATTATACAAAGAAAGCAACTTTGAAACAACCAATCTGCTTTTTGTTCTCTGTTTCTGCTTTCCTCAGCCCTTTTCTGTCTAAAAATCAACTTCCTCTGCTCAGCTCACTGGAACACTCAATCCACCTTATAGAATGAAATATTGCCTGATTCTAGAATTGCAATAAAAGCCAATTGAGATATTTAAACTAAACTTGTAATTTTGTCTTTTGACAAAATTTTTTTAATTTATAAAGAACTCACACAACTCAATAATAATAAGGCAAATAACCCAATAACAAAAAGAACAAAGGGCTTAAACAGACATTTCTCCAAAGAAGATAGCCAATAAGCACATGAAAAGATGCTCAACATCATTAGTCATCGGGGAAGTACAAATCAAAACCACAGTGAGATACCACTTCATACTTACTAGGATGGCAGAAATAAAAAGACAGATAACAACAGGCGTTGGCAAGGATGTGCAGAAATTGGAACCCCCATACATGGCAGGTGGGAATGTAAAACAGTGTAATCACTTTGAAAAACAGTTTGGCAGTTCCTCAAAATGTGCAACAGAGTTAACACACGACCCAACAATTTCAATCCTATGTATATATCCATAAGAATTAAAAACATTCATCCACACAAAAACTTGTATATGATAGCAGCATTATTCATAATAGCCCAAAAATGGAAACAACCCAAATGCCCATCAACTGGTGAATGCATAAATAAAATGTGGTATATCCATGTAAAGGAATTATCATTCAGCCATAAAAAGGAATAAAATACTGAAACATGCTACAACATGTATAAGTCTTAAAAACATCCTGCTAAATGAAAGAAGCCAGTCATAAATCTATGTGAAACATACAGAATAGGCATATCTATAGAGACAGAAAGTAGCTCTGCTAGGGGCTGGGCAGGCGGGAATGGGAAGTGATTACTAAAGAGTATGGGGTTTCTTCTTGTGACGAAATGTTCTGAAATTAGTAGTGACGGTTGCACAGCACTGTGAATATACTAAAAATCACTAAAATGTACACCTTAATAGGTGAATTTTACAGTGTGTGAATTCTATCTCAATACAACTGTTCTGTAAAAAAATAAAAAACTATCTCTAGAGGTAATGGAAGTTTTTTATCCTGATTATGGTGGTAGTTACATGACTCTATACAGATGTTCAAATTCATAGAACTGTTTACCAAAGAAGTCAATTTTACTGTATGATAATTTTTAAAATAAAATTATTCTAAAAATATACCTAAAACCACACAGAAGATAACTTGTGAGAGGAACAAAGATAGAATCATAAGTGGAAAGCACTGTCGTAACAACAGTTATTTATAAGTACCTAATCTGTGCCAGGATCTGTGCTAGACTTGGCATAGATCACATTTCTCTTTAAAAAGGGTAAACTTTCATATGAGGGTATTATTAATATAATATGAGGGAATTATTATTATTATCCCCATTTTACAGAATCTAAAGCTGAAAAAGATTAATGTAACTTGTCCAAAGCCTGCCAGACTCCTAACATGTGCTCTCCAGGCTACACCTGACCACCTTCCTGCCCCTTCCATTTTCCTGCAGTGCATGTTGTATTCTAACCCCCACCTTCTCCTTCAAATCCATCATTCATCAGTAAGATCCAGGTCTTGCCCTTGAGGAGCTCAGAGTACAGTGAGGAGACACATAAAAACAAACCATTTCAATACAACATGATAAATAGAACTATAGAAGCAAGACTGGCTCTTCTTGGGGAGTCAGGATGTACTTCATTAGTCTTCTGTATACCTGGAGTCATTCTTGGCTCTTCTCTCTCTCTCTCAAATCTTATTTCCAAACAATTAGCAAACCCTGTTGGCTCTACTTTCAACATAAACCCAAGATTTGATCTCTTGTCAAAACCTCAACTGCCACCACTCTGGTCCAAGTTGTTCCTCTTCCAGCTGGATCTCCCTGTCTCTGCCTCAGTCTATTTTCTTCACAGCAGAGTGATCTTTTTTAAAATGTCACACAATATCACTCCTCTGCTTAAAACTTCCAGTGACTTCACAGTTGTCTTATAATATAATCCAGAAATTCTTACCATGGCTACTAGACCTGATCTCTATCCTTAAAATGTCACACAATATCACTCCTCTGCTTAAAACTTCCAGTGACTTCACAGTTGTCTTAGAATATAATCCAGAAATTCTTACCATGGCTACTAGACCTGATCTCTATCTGTCTCTACCTTCTCTGAACTAATTTCCTTCTACTCTCTCCCATCTCCCCTTGCTCCAGCCACAATCATTGTTCCTTAAGTACACCAAGCACACTCCAGCCTCAGGGCCTTGGCACTTGCTGTCCCTAACAAGAACACTTTTACCCCGGCACCTAAATGGCTCACTTCCTTCAGATGTCAGCTCAGATGTCACCTTATCAGTGGGACCTTCTCTGAGCATGCCATATAAAAAGGCTGCCCTACTCCCTTCCATCAGTGCCCATCAGCCCCACTCCCTTGCCCTACTTTACTTTTCTTCATAGTACTTATCCCTGACGTTACATTGTTATTTCTTTATGATCACTCTCCTGTCCCAGAATATGAACTCCATCTGGTCAGAGACTTGTCTTGTTCTCTGCTGCATCCCTTTCTCTAGAGCATTGTAGTTGGTGCCCAAAAAGTATTCATTGAATGAATGAATAAATGAATGA